TCTTTCTTCTCTTCCACCTTTCTTTTCTAACATTCTTTCTTTCTCTCATTCTCTATTGGACTATGTCTCATTTTCCTTTTTTATTAAAAAAGTCTCTCGATTTTAGCACCCTACGTCAATACAGCGTTTCTTTTCTCACATTCTTTCTTTCTCTCATTATCTATTCCTCTATATCTCATTTTCTTTCTTTATTTAACCAGTTTCTCCATTCTAGATTCTCCCTCACTTCTCACTCTTTTCTGGCTTACTTTCTTTCTCTCATTCTATTTCCTCTCTTACTCATTTCCATTATTTATTTAACCACTTTCTCCATTTTTGCCACAGCGTCATTTTCTCTCATTCTCTCTTCCTCTATATCTCATTTTCTTTCTTTTTCTAATCACTTTTTCCATTCTACTCTCTCCCTCATTTTCCCCTTTCTTTTCTCACTTTCTTTCTTTCTCTCATTCTCTCTTCCTCTATTTCTCATTTTCTTTCTTTATTAACCAATTTTCCATTCTTCACTCTCCCTTATTTTCCCCTTTCTTTTCTCACTTTCTATCTTTCTCTCATTCTCTCTTCCTCTATATCTCATTTTCTTTCTTTCTTTAACCAGTTTCTCCTTTCTTCACTCTCTCTCATTTTTCCCTTTCTTTTCACACTTTCTTTTTTTCTCTCCTTCTCTCTTCCTATATTTCTCATTGTCTTTCTTTTTTTAACCATTTTCTCCATTCGTAGCTCTCACTCATTTTTCCCTTTCTTTTCTCACTTTTATTCTTTCTCTCATTCTCTCTTCCTCTATATCTCATTTTCTTTCTTTTATTAACCAGTATCTCCATTGTTCCCTCTCCCTCATTTCCCCTTTCTTTTCTCACTTTCTTTCTTTCTCTCATTCTCTCTTCCTCTATTTCTCATTTTCTTTCTTTATTAATCAATTTTCCATTCTTCACTCTCCCTTATTTTTCCCTTTCTTTTCTCACTTTTATTCTTTCTCTCATTCTCTCTTCCTCTATATCTCATTTTCTTTCTTTTTTTAACCAGTTTCTCAATACTTCACTCTCTCTCATTTTTCCCTTCCTTTTCTCACTTTCTTTCTTTCTCTCATTCTCTCTTCCTCTATATCTCATTTTCTTTCTTTTTTTAACCAGTTTCTCAATACTTCACTCTCTCTCATTTTTCCCTTCCTTTTCTCACTTTCTTTTCTTTCTCTCATTCTCTCTTCCTCTATATCTCATTTTCTTTCTTTTTTTAACCATTTTCTCCATTCTTCCCTCTCCCTCATTTTTCTCTTTCTTTTCTCACTTTCTTTCTTTCTTTCATTCACTCTTCCTCTATATCTCATATTCTTTCTTTTTTTAACCAGTTTCTCCATTCTTCCCTCTCCCTCATTTTCCCCTTTCTTTTCTCACTTTCTTTCTTTCTCTCATTCTCTCTTCCTCTATATCTCATTTTCTTTCTTTTTTTAACCAGTTTCTCCATTCTTCCCTCTCCCTCATTTTCCCCTTCCTTTTCTCACTTTCTTTCTTTCTCTCATTCTCTCTTCCTCTATTTCTCATTTTCTTTCTTTTTTTAACCAGTTTCTCCATTCTTCCCTCTCCCTCATTTTCTCTTTCTTTTCTCACTTTCTTTCTTTCTCTCATTCTCTCTTCCTCTATATCTCATTTTCTTTCTTTTTTTAACCAGTTTCTCCATTCTTCCCTCTCCCTCATTTTCCCATTCTTTTCACACTTTCTTTCTTTCTTTCATTATTTCTTCCTCTATATCTCATTTTCTTTCTTTTTTTAACCAGTTTCTCCATTCTTGACTCTCTCTCATTTTTCCCTTTCTTTTCACACTTTCTTTTTTCTTTCATTATTTCTTCCGCTATGTCTCATTTTCTTTCTTTCTTTTTTAACCAGTTCCTCCATTCATGCCTCTCTCTCATTTTCCCATTCTTTTCACACTTTCTTTCTTTCTTTCAATCTCTCTTCCTCTATATCTGATATTCTTTCTTCCCCTCCCACATTTTTCCCTTTCTTTTCTGATTTTTTTTCTTTCATTCTGTCTTGCTCTATTTCTCATTTTCTTTCTTTTTTAACCAGTTTCTCCATTCTTCCCTCTCCATCATTTAACCTTTCTTTTCTCCCTTTCTTTCTTTCTCTCATTCTCTCTTCCTCTATATCTAATTTACTTTCTTTTTTTTAACCAGTTTCGCGATTCTTTCCTCTCCCTCTTTTTTCGCTGACTTTTCTCACTTTCTTTCTTTCTCTCATTCTCTCTATCTCTGTTTCTCATTATATTTCGTTGTTTAACCAGTTTCTCCATTCTTCCCTCTCCCTCATTTTTCCCTTCCTTTTCTCACTTTCTTTCTTTCTCTCATTCTCTCTTCCTCTATTTCTCATTTTCTTTCTTTTATTAACCAGTTTCTCAATTCTTACCTCTCACTCGTTTTTCGCTTTCTTTTCTCACTTTCTTTCTTTCTCTCATTGCCTTTGTCTATATCACATATTCTTTCGTTTTTTTCAAGCAGTTTCTCTATTCTTCCCCTTCCCACCTTTTTCCATTTCTTTTCTCACTTTCTTTCTTTCTTTCATTCACTCTTCCTCTATATCTCATATTCTTTCATTTTTTAACCAGTTTCTCCATTCTTCCCTCTCCCTCAATTTCCGCTTCTTTTTCTCACTTTCTTTCTTTCTCTCATTCTCTCTTCCTCTATATCTCATTTTCTTCCTTTTCTTAACCAATTTCTTCATTCTACCCTCTCCCTCATTTTTCCTATTCTTTTCACACTTTCTTTCTTTCTTTCATTATTTCTTCCGCTATGTCTCATTTTCTTTCTTTTTTTTAACCAGTTCCTCCATTCATGCCTCTCCCTCATTTTCCCATTCTTTTCACAATTTCTTTCTTTCTTTCAATCTCTCTTCCTCTACATCTCATATTCTTTCTTTTTTTTTTCAACCAGTTTCTCCTTTCTTCCCTCTCCCTCATTTTTCCCTTTCTTTTTCTGACTTTTTTCTTTCTCTCATTCTCTCTTCCTCTATATCTCATTTACTTTCTTTTTTTTAACCAGTTTCGCGATTCTTTCCTCTCCCTCTTTTTTCCCTGACTTTTCTCACTTTCTTTCTTTCTTTCATTCACTCTTCCTCTATTTCTCTTTTTCTTTCTTTTTTACCCAGTTTTTCCATTCTTCCCTCTCCCTCATTTTTCTCTTTCTTTTCTCACTTTCTTTCTTTCTCTCATTCTCTTTTCCTCTATTTCTCATTTTCTTTCTTTCTTTAAGTTTCTCAATTCTTGCCTTCTCCGTCTTTTCTCCCGTTCTTTTCTCAATTTCTTTCTTTCTCTCATACTATTTCCTCTCTTTCTCATTTCCTTTATTTATTTAACCAGTCTCTCCATTCTTGCCTCTTCCTCCCTTCCCCTTTCTTCTCTCAATTTCTTTCTTTCACTCATTCTTTCTTCCTCTCTTTCTTTCATTATTTAACAATTTTCTCCATTTATCCCTCTTCCTCTCTTGTTCCTTCCTTTTCTCACTTTCTCTCATTGTCTGTCTCATTTACTTTCTTTTATTAACCAGTTTCTCCATTCTTCCCTCTCCCTCCCGTCTCCCATTCATTTCTCACTTTCTTTTGTTCTCATTCTCTCTTCCTCTCTTTCTTGTTTAAACACTTTCTCTCTTCTTTACTCTACCTCTCTTCTGTCTCTCTTTTCTCACTTTCTTTCTTTCTCTTTTTCTCTCTTTCTTCTTTTCTTTCTTTATTCAACCAGTTTCTCCTTTCCCGCGTTTCTTATATTCTTTTCTCACTTTCTTTCTTTCTCTCATTCTCGCTTCTCCTGTTTCTCATTTTAATTTATTTAACCAGTTTCTCCATTTTGGACTCACCCTCTCTTCTCCCTTCCTTTTCTCTCTTTCTTTCTTTCTTTCTTTCTTTCTTTCTTTCTTTCTTTCTTTCATTGTTTCTTCCTATCGTTCTCATTTTCTTTCTTTATGTATTCCGTCTTTCAATTCTTGCCTCTCCCTGCCTTCTCCCTATCTTTTGTCACGTTCTTTCTTTCTCTCATTCTCTATTCCACTATTTCTCATTTTCCTTTTTTATTTAAACAGTTTCTCCATTCTTCCCTCTCCCTCCCTTCTCTCTTTGTTTTCTCTCTTTCTTTCTTTCTCTCATTCTCCCTTCCTCTCTTTCTCCTTTTCTTTATTTATTTAACCAGTTTCTCCATTCTTGCCTTCTCCCTAACTTCTCGCTTTCTTTTCTCATTTTCTTTCTTTCTATCATTCTCCCTACCTCTCTTTCTCCTTTTCTTTATTTATTTAACCAGTTTCTCCATTCTTGCCTTCTCCCTCCCTTCTCTCTTTCTTTTCTCACTTTCTTTCTCTCATTCTCCCTACCTCTCTTTCTCCTTTTCTTTATTTATTTAACCAGTTTCTCCATTCTTGCCTTCTCCCTCCCTTCTCGCTTTCTTTTCTCACTTTCTTTCTTTCTCTCATTCTCCCTACCTCTCTTTCTCCTTTTCTTTATTTATTTAACCAGTTTCTCCATTCTTGCCTTCTCCCTCCCTTCTCCCTTTCTTTTCTCACTTTCTTTCTCTCATTCTCCCTACCTCTCTTTCTCCTTTTCTTTATTTATTTAACCAGTTTCTCCATTCTTGCCTTCTCCTCCCTTCTCCTTTCTTTTCTCACTTTCTTTTCTCTCATTCTCCCTACCTCTCTTTCTCCTTTTCTTTATTTATTTAACCAGTTTCTCCATTCTTGCCTTCTCCCTCCCTTCTCGCTTTCTTTTCTCACTTTCTTTCTTTCTCTCATTCTCCCTACCTCTCTTTTCTCCTTTTTTCTTTATTTATTTAACCAGTTTCTCCATTCTTGCCTTCTCCCTCCCTTCTCCCTTTCTTTTCTCACTTTCTTTCTCTCATTCTCCCTACCTCTCTTTCTCCTTTTCTTTATTTATTTAACCAGTTTCTCCATTCTTGCCTTCTCCCTCCCTTCTCCCTTTCTTTTCTCACTTTCTTTCTCTCATTCTCCCTACCTCTCTTTCTCCTTTTCTTAATTTATTTAACCAGTTTCTCCATTCTTGCCTTCTCCTCCTTCTCCCTTTCTTTTCTCACTTTCTTTCTCTCATTCTCCTACCTCTCTTTCTCCTTTTCTTTATTTATTTAACCAGTTTCTCCATTCTTGCCTTCTCCCTCCCTTCTCCCTTTCTTTTCTCACTTTCTTTCTCTCATTCTCCCTTCCTCTCTTTCTCCTTTTCTTTATTTATTGAAACAGTTTCTCCATTCTTGCCTTCTCCCTCTCTTCTCTCTTTCTTTTCTCACTTTCTTTCTTTCTCTCATTGTCTCTTCCTCTCTTTCTCCTTTTCTTTATTTATTTAACCAGTTTCTCCATTTCTGCACCCTCCCTTCTTTCTCCGTTTCTTTTTTTCACTTTTCTTCTTTCTCTTATTCTTTCTTCCTTTCTTTCTGTTTTTTTCTTTTTATTCAACCAGTGTCTCCGTTCTTGTTTCTCTTTTCCCTACCTGCTCACTTTTCTTTTCACCTTCTTTCTTTCTCTAAATATTTTTTGTATCTTTCTTAAATTTTTAGCACTTTCTTTATCTTTTCCATTTACTTTTTTTCTTTATTTCTTTGGTCCTTTTACTCTTTGCCTTCATTCTCACTTCGTTTTTTTTTCTTTCTTTGTTCTTTTTCACATTTTTTCATCCCTACTCAATTCTTTTTCTCCTTCCCTTATACATTCCATTTTTTCTTTCTTTCTTTCTTTCTTTCTTTCTTTCTTTCTTTCTTTCTTTCTCCGTTTTCGTTTTTCTTCACTGTTTATATCTTTGTTTCATTTTTTTGTGGGGTGGGGGCGGCGTAATTATTTCCTTTTTGATGTCTTTCGTTTATTTTTTCCATTCTTACGTTCTTTTTTTCTTTCTTTCTTTACTTGTTTCTTTATACATTGCTTTGATTATATCTTGTTTATTTATTTTTATTTCATTGTTTTTCCTTTTTTGTTTGTTTTTTATTTTGTTGTTTCTTTCTTTTTAAGTTCTATCTTTTTTTTATTTAGCTTTTATATCTTCGTTTTATTTTTTTTCCTTTGAATCATTTCTCTTTCTTCTTCTTTTTTTCTTTCTTTTTTTTTCTTAATTTTTTATATCTTTTCTTCTTTATTTCCTTCGTTTTTCCTTCTTTCTTTCATTCTTTCTTTCTTAATTTCTTTGCTTCTTTTTTCATTCTTTTTTATTTCATTCTTTCTTTCATTCTTTCTTTGTTTCTTTTTTCCCTTTCGTTTTTCATTCCTTCTTTCTTTATTTCTCTTGTTTTTTTTTTATTTTTTCTATGTCTTCTTCCGTTTTCGTGTTCCTGTTTAATATTATTGCGTTTTGAGTTTTTCTTTTTAATAATAATTCTTTATTTTTATACTTTTCTGACATGTAGATGATGCTTTTAGATTTATCAACGAGATTGTTGTCGATTGAGTTTGGCTCGTCTTTAGTACTATCAACTATGGAAACAGCTGCAGTTTATTGACAGTGTTTGTAAAATAAAACATTCTTAGAGCTTATACAATAAAAAAGCCCAAAATTTAAAAGTAAAAATAGAATTATCCTTGATAATGGCTAAAAGAATAGCCGAAAATGCAATGACATACATATCTTTCGGACAATTTCACTATAATTTATATCCAAAAAGAAAAAAAAAAACTTTATAAGAAAACAAAAAGCAAATGAAGTAAAGAAAACTGCAAAACTTTGTCAATCGTTTTTAAAGAATATATTATATTGGGTGAGGAAAAAAAGTTGTGAGCGTTTTTCAAAATGTTTTAATGTAATGATATTTTGTTAAATAACATAGTATTAGTCAACTAATTTCCGTTGCTGCTGATAACATTTTCCAATCAGTCACAAAGTTTTTCTATACCTTAACGATAAAAATTTCCTGGATTTGAGCTGAAAAATATGCCCGACCAAAACATCAATTCAACATCAGTATCGAACATTACACAACATAAGGCATTGAAAAAGAGATTCGAAAAGATGATGTTGCCAAGTCTGTTGATTACGCAGGATGAGGTAACACTTCCCATCCAAATTCTTGAATAACGGTTTTGGTCATATTGCCGATGTGAGATTTCAGGTGTTGTCATGTTGAAGAAGAACACTCTGTCACCTTTTTTCCTTTTTTTATTGCTGAATTGTTTCACAGAGACGTTGCAGTTTTTGAAAGTAGAGTTCAACATTTACCGTTTGGTTTCGCTCAAGCAATTCATAATGAATAATGCCTTCTCAGTCCCACCATACATCCAACACGGTCTTTCGAGGATGAAGGACTTGATTTGCTCGAGGTTTCGTTTGCTTATTGGGCTAAGCCATACTTTACGTTGCTTCATTTTGACGTAGACGCCATTTTTCATCGCCAGTGACAATGCGATAAATGAAACGCTATTTATGACCGCATATTGAGCAATGCCGAGCCAGCAAACTGGCTGCAATTGTTGCGTGTTAATTATTGTTGTGGACATTCAATGCGTATAGCACCCATGAACCAAGTTTCAGAACCCTCCCTATTGAATGAAGGTGACTTATCTCAGTTTGGTCATTGCAATTAATCTGTTCCGTCAATACTCTGGTCGTCTGACGTGGATTTTCGTGAAGAAACTGGTTTCATCGCCCCTCATTAAACTCAACTGGTCGACCAGGCGCTCCCCATCCTCCAGATTAAAATTTCCTTTTTGGAAGCGCTAAAACCAACGACGAGCGATACTTTGCGCCATCTCCCTACTCGTTACAAACCTCACGAGTCGCTTTAGTGGCGTTAAATCCTCGATAATGTGCAAAAAGAAAAAGGTGTCGGAAATGAGCAGTTTTGTTTGCTTGACGATGCAATTTAAAGGTGTGAAATAGAACCAAAAAGTAATGAAATTAACAAGAATCATATATATATATATATATATATATATATATATATTTCAATTAAAGGTGCAAAATTATAATTTATAAATTCATGAATCATTCATACAAAAAACAAATATAGAGGTTAATGATTTAAATGGCGACAATACATCTTCGCAACAATATAAATAAGATACATGAACCCCGAAAGAGTTGAGTTTAATGAGGGGCGATGAAACCAGTTTCTTCAAGAAAATCCACGTCAGACGACCAGAGAATTGACGGAACAGATTAATTGCAATCACAAAACTGTGATAAATAAGACACCTTCATTCAATAGTGGGGGGTTCTGAAACTTGGTTCATGGGTACTATACGCATTGAATGTCCACAACAATAATATGATATCATTCATATAGAGGCTCGGGGTTGATGTATCACATATATTTTTTGCGAAGATGTATTCTCGCCATTCAAATCATTAAACTCTATATTTTTTTTTCTATGAATGATTCAAGAATATATATATATATATATATATATATATATATATATATACAGAGCTGTTCGATAAAAGTGACTCACCTGATTAGTTTTACTAAATGTTCTCTTCTCCGTGGGGAGGTCTGTCAGCCGCTTGTCATACTCTAAGACCGGGCAGAGATGAACCAGGACGAGGCTATGCCGAAGGACAGCGTCTCGTATGGGGAGGTAGAGAGATACCTGACCCCGTGTATACGAGATTTACTGGGAATTTTCCCGAGCTTTCGGGCTCGGAAAGACCCCGCTTCTGCCACATCCCGTTTTGTGGCGAGCTCGCGTAAATACCCAGCTGTCATCCCCTCACCTACTAGCCGGGAGAAATGCACCAAGAGCTTGTCGATCTCTCAGACGTCGGGCAGGATCGAACACAGTCCAGGCTATGCCTACGGGCAGAGCTTCATATGGGGCGATAGACACCTCCGAACACCGTGTATACGGTGTTTATGGGGTAGTTTTTTTCCCGGGCTCGGAACGATCTACGATGAACCTGCCTTTTGCCAACTTCTGCTCTGTGGGGAGCTCGGGTAAATACCGAGCCGGAGTCACGTCACCCACTATCTGGGAGCAATGTGTTCAGAGCTTGTCGGACTCTGTGCCGTCGGACAGGGAAAAAACCAGACGAGGCCATGTATGCGGCCTGAGTCTCGTCTGGGGAAGGAGATAGCCACCCGAACCTGTGTATGCCTAGTCTACTGGGAATATTTACCAGAGCGAACGCACACGGAAAACATCCCGCTTTGTGGGGAGATCTCGGTTATAAACCCATTTAGCCACCTGTCACATGCTAACCGGGAGCAGAGCTCTCAGATTTCGGACAGAGAGGAACACAAACGAGTCTCTGCCTAATGGCATAGTCTCATATGGCGAGGTAGACCAACCCGACCCTGTGTATATAAGGTTTACGTTTAATTTTTTTCCCGAGATTGCAAACTCGGAAAGTCGCACGTTAAACCGGCCTTGTGCCACTTTCCGTTCTGTGGTGAGCTCGTGTGAATACCTAGCTGGCCAGCCGTCACCCGCTAGCCGGGAACAAAGATCTCAGAACTTCTTGGATTCTCAGAGAGTAACGAGAACGAGGCTATGCCGATGGACAGCATCTCATCTGGGGAGGTAGACAGCACCCCGACCACGTATATACGCGGTCTACGGGCAACTTTTGCTCGAGTGTAAGGGCACGGAACGCCCCACTTGACAAAAAACCACCGGGATTGTGACACAGCCCGCCTTTAGGGGAGGTCTCGGTTAAATAACGAGTTGACCACCCGTCACCCGTTAGTCGCGAGCAATGCACTCAGGGCTTGACGGACTCTCAAGTTCGGGCAGATAGAAACGAGGACGAGGGTATGCAGAAGGGCAGCGACTCGTCTGGTGTGGTAGATGACTACCTACCCCGTGTATACGAGGTTTACTGGCATATTTGGCTCGAGCCTCGTAGTCCCGTGTAAGAAAACCGACCTTGTACCACATCCACTTTTGGGGAGGACTTGGATAAATACCGTGCTGGCCACCTGTCATGCACTAGCCGGGAGCACTGCTCACATAGCTTGTTGGTCTCTCACTCAGTCTTCGGACAGAAAAGAACCAAATCAAGGGCAATGTCTAGTCTGAGGAGGTAGACAGTTACCCGACACC